CCTCGTTAAATCTAAACTAATTATTATTCTGCCCACCCTACTAGGTACATATTTTTGTATGCAAGTGGATTTTTTTGTAACCTGTGTGACGAAACGTTGAAACAAACTATATCTATATTAATATAATAGTGCCATCTGTTGTATGTCCGTGTAATTACTTCTATATAAATATAATAGTGACGTCTGTTGTATGTCCGTGTAATTACTTCGCAGGGTGTGGATGGATCTTCACCAAAATTGGAATGGAGGTTCATTAGGTCCACGCGGGGGTACATACAAATTTTTAGTTTTGCATTTTGAGGTTTTTATGAGCGTCTTTGCGATTTGTACCACTACTTCGCACCCCTGTAAATGGATCTTCACTAAAATTTGATATGGAGGTTCATTAGGTCCATAGAGAGATACGTACAAATGTTCAGATTTGCGTTTTGCACCACTACTTCGCCCCCTGTTGATATATCTTCACCAAATTTGGCATGAAGGTTTGTTGGATCCATGCAGAGATACACGCGAATTTGCGGTTTCACTTTTTGTGTTTTGCAGTTTTAACAATTACATATAAGGGAAGCAACTTTTCATTACCTAAGATAACCTTTCATTAATCATGAATTTACATAACTTACGTCCAGGGGGAAACAGGTACTCCAGGGGTACAGGTAATAATATCTCTACTATATTCTTTTCTATTTAACTTAATACAGGTGGTATTTTGTTTCAGTTGCATTTGGTCATCAACAAGCCAGTCGTCGATTGTCGAAGAGAGGACGATCACATAACCGATGTTTCGTCGAACTTCACGACGAAGATTCTCTAGTCAAGTTGTCTGCTTTGGAATTGGTTGCTAGGCACTACAGGATATCGTCGATATTGAGGGTAAGGAATTAGTTTTATAACCGCTGTCATTAATTAGGAAAAGTTGAGTTTGACAAGTTTGAAGTACATTCCATTTGATGACTTGGGATTTAATATCTTTACAACAACTGAAGTTAAATAAAAGATTTAGTGACATGATATTTGTAAATATTTTTTTCAGACATATCTTTTGTTTATATATTACCTTACTAGATGGCAGGGCAATCGCCGATTATATTATATTGTTTGCTATAGGATGCTCAGAGGATAAACGGAGAACTTGAAGTACTGAAGAGAAGAGACTTTGGTCAAATAAAAGGACGTGGGGCACGTAGGGGTGACCTATACTTGTAGCCAAAAGATTTTTGAGATTTCTTGTGTACGAAATGTTTTGTCTTTCATGTTTTGCACAAACATTTAAGTTTGTTTCTTGCTGAAATGTTAAAAAAAAAAACTTGTTTTAAATGGAACTAGAAACTGCCAAAAGATGGGTCGTATTTACCATTAAGAAAAAAGTATTTAAAGACTTCTTAGTTGGAGTGAGACGAAACTAATTGAAACGAAAGTCGTTGTAGTTAAACCGATAAAACTGTTGTTTAAAATAATGTACGTATTATATTAGGCAAAACTATTAAAATAAAGTATAACGAAGAGCACGCTAATTCAAGTGTACAGATTTCTGGGGGTTTATATAATATATATAATGTGTGTGTGCTTGCGCGTTTAAGGCTTCACTTTTTCTGGAGATTCGGAGTGAGATCAGCCGTAAAGATTTAAGTATGAAATTAAAGGTCATCGTAAAATAGTGGTAATTTGAGCTATAATTCTACACAACATCTTGACGCTTTTTTTTCTCTAATCAATACGAATAATAATAATAATAACGTTAAGTGGAAGTAGTGTGGAAAAAAATAAACTTCTGGCACGTGTTTGAAGGTAATGGGAGAACAAGTTCCAACAGGTATATCACTTCTGGCACGTGTTTGAAGGTAATGGGAGAACAAGTTCCAACAGGTATATCACGACTACTTAGGATGGTGGTTCGATGAGTTCTTGTTGCTCTACGTTACCGCTATAGTCGCTTGGTAAAAAAATTAATCTGAATCTGACTGTACGTCATTTCTTGAGGCACAGGTTCATTCAGCCATCCCTTATCTTTCATCTTACTGTGAGGGAAGGAAAGACTCCATCCTCTTTGTATTATGTCTTACTCTTTGGGGGAAGAGGATTCCATCTTACAAATAGCTGTGTGTGGGTGGGGTGGGGGTGGTATTCCACAAAACTATTCTTTCTGCATCTGTTTCACAAAAGTACATTCGCTGTAGACAGAACTCTAACGACACGCTTCGTTTTTGGGTTGGACAGAATAAAATTTAAACAAGTGAAGTGAGATCTAGTAAAGATTAATAAGCCAACATAAAAACTTGTAAAGTTCCAATCTATGGATTGACTTTTTTATTTTCGTTCAGTTGTGTTAACCAATAGTTTCGATAAATATAAACATTTACTCTTGAAAAACTGGGAGAAGAAAAAAACAACTGTTATAACTGTCCATTTCTTTCTAGTGAATTCTATTCGCGTGTTTACTTCATCGTTATAGTTTAGCCTAACAGCGATAACGCCAACTCTCTTACTCCGTGTAAATGAAAAGTGAAGTGAAAAAACAAACAATCTAAACAGTTATAACTTACTTATTTCTAACTCGCTAAGCTGCAGTGTATTGTTTTACGACGTTGGCCGTTTGTCCATAATAGATCTATAACAGATAGGAAACTCTCGATGAACCATGTGGTCGGTGCCGGAAATTGTAACTATGGATCTAACATTGTATCGTAACTTCTACAGGATGCGCTGTGGTCTTGTGGTTGAGTTTTGGATTTCGGATTCATGCGATACCACAAAACTATCCCCATACTTAAAAATGTGGAATCGTTATAAGAGAGCCATCTGGTGGCGAGTAGTTAAGAATTAGGAACTGTGAAACGTAGCCTTAAACACAGTTAATAAAACCTGCATACGATTAAAGCGGGAGAACTTGTGTTCAAAATAAAAGTTTCTATTGCTCGCGCATAGTTAGCTGTTCCCCACTCCCAACCACCCCCAATGGCTTAGCTGTAAAAGTGGAGGCTTATAACTCTAAAAAACGAACAAGTAAGTTATTAACCATCCTTGTTTAGTTGAATTATATATCTTGGTACGTGTGCTGAGGGTATTCGTTAAAAGGAAACCAGCACTTGGTTGGAGTTAAACTGGTGATCATTTTTATTTCTTGTTAAAGCAATTTCCAGTGTGTGTGTGTGTGTGTGTGTGTGTGTGTGTGTGTGTGTGTGAGAGAGAGAGAGAGAGAGAGAGAGATAGACAGAGAGAAAGAGGGAGAATTAACTGTCGAATTGATCTTATCTAAATTTATTTGTACTTAAACAGAAAGCTACACAATGGGCTATCTGTGGTCGGCCCGCCACGGGTGTCAAAATCCGGTTTTTAGCGCTAAAAGCCTTACCACTGAATCACTGGAGAAGAGGGGGGTTTTGGAAATTCAGCTTTCTTGCAACATCCGTTTCAATGGGGAGCTCAGCTAACTCAGTAAAATCCTCCTGATGTACGGATAATCTCGGAGGAAGTTTGATATAATTTAAAAACTTC